CCTATATATTACCCTATAGGTCCCCCCCAACCTAACTTGAGTCCGCAGCTCACATGCCTCATACGGTGCTTAGGGGAGAGTAGGGGACTGGATCCCCTTAACAATCCCTGTATAATCCCAATATATACCCCTATAATGGTGCCTATATTCACTTCTCCACTCCCCCTCAAGCACCAGTAGGTCATAGGTCCTTGGCAGTTAGTAGGGCACAGAGGGTGATCTCTGTAGCAAAGCATTTGAAGTCTCTTCTAGTAGTCATAAGACTCGCTATAACCCTTCTCCTTCTGATTTCTTAGCCAACGTCAGATGATGTTACGCGGCGGCCTGAGAATTGCACATTGGAGCTTGTATTGGGATTCATGTTGACTATCATAGATGCTGCAATGTGGTGGCGCGTGACTGGCTGCTTGCAAAGACACAAGTAACTCCCAATTTTGAGGCTGTGCTGTGGCCCACCATGAATCTTCAAATCATCAAGCTCCAGCATCGATGCAACAGCAGGTCTGTCAACGGGCAAGAGAAATACAAATCTTAGCAAAGTGAGCTTCAACGCCGTCCAAGGCCTGCGACAGCTGTCTGATCATGACGGTAGTGATGTCTAGTTAGACCGCGGCATCAACGCATGCGATTAGCAACAGATCTGGCATCATAAATCATGACTGAATCTTCTGCATCTCCATCTATCAGCCTCAGCAACCGTGCCAGCATATGCACAACAATTTTAGGCACGATCCGCTGTTGAGGATTTTGCGCGTTCGGTATCTAGTTAGTGAAAAACTCTCGCAGGAAAAAAACAAAGTCTAGACCTTCCAGCCCTCCCCCACATGTGAGCTGCAACTAATATTACATGCGTAGCTACTGGACATGAGGGCTCATTCGCAAAAGTATTTGGGCACATATTTACTTACCAGTCACTAAGAATAAGACACCGCAACCAAAAGAAGGACACAATCACACTACATGTTGGGAACTCATTATCCCAATTTCAGTGCTAGCTTGTGTGAGCCCAAGGGCAGACAGAATCAGAGGTGTGGATCCTCGATCTGTTGTGCTTTCCAAATTCGCCTGACTTTCAAAATTATGGGAATGGGTTTAGGGGTCAGGGTTTGGGCTTGAAAGGCTAAAACATGTAGGTCTTTGGGACCCAAACTCTAAACCCCTAAACCCTAAATAGTAGTTTCCATGTTCTTTCCCACTATCTCAATAGAACCCCAACATAACCCTGATATTACCACCTAAACCCTAAATCTTTTGAAAGGCTTAAGGCCAGCTTGTTTAGGATTCCAAGTGCCAAAACAAACAAAAACCCTTGTCCAAGCAGAGCTCTAGGATGAATCACCAATATTTTGCTCATCTGGGTTAGGTTTTAGGGTTTAGGGTGTAGAGTTTAGGTATAGGGTTCAGGGGCTAGGGTTCAGGTTTTAGAGTTTAGGGGTTAGTGTTTAGGGTTAAGGGGTTAGGGTTTTGGGTTGCTGCTAAGGACCCCAAACTCTTGTTGTATGGGGATAAGAATCGGGAAGGTGGACGAGAAAATTTAGGGTTCGGGGTTTAGGGATCTGGGTTGCTGTCAAAAACTTAAAGTAAGTTCCTATAATATGGGTAGATAGTAAATGATAGGGTTTCCTTATTATAGTGACTTACTGAACACTTTAAATACCTTAACCGCAATGCAGATTGAAGTGGTTACTGAGGGTTAGTAGGGAATAAGGGAATTTGCTATATAGGGATTGTTTGGGTATTGGGGTTTCGGGGTTCGGTACCTTCACGTTTCCAGTCCTGGTATTTGGGGCATACCTCGGCGCTGCATTTCTGGAAACGTCTCTGGGGATGAGGATGATGAGTACAATGATGATGATGTTGATGTTGGCTGCTGGCCAACTGACTTTGGACTGTTTAGTAGTTTTATGTGACAGTTGAGATGCGGAAGAGCAGGAAAGGCTACAAATGCAAGGCGCATGGGGCAAGGTCTCAAATCCCAAAACTCGTGCTGCTACTCTAAACCCTTAATCCTAAAGCTGATTGATCCAATATGAACCGGCGCGCACATCGCTGAGCAATGCTGCCCCTACTTGGGTTCTTAGAATTTAGCTACTTTGGGATAAGGCCTAAGCCTTTGCTATATGTATCTATATTTAAGTAGAAGTATAAGTAGAAGTAGAAGTATCTATATATATATATATACACACACACACACATATTTTCATAATATCTATATATATATATACACATTTACACGAGGTTGAGGAGCCCCAAAACCCTCAAAACCATAATGATAAGTCCCCAACGTTTCATGTGAAGGTGCGAGTTTAGCGCTGAGGTCTCACAATTTACGCACTTCTCAAAACGTCGCGACCAGTGGCACAAGACACTACCTGGGATCTGTCAAACCCCACAGGAGGAAACAGTGTCCTCCAACAAACTCCAACCTGAATTTAACCAACAGCAGTTTGAGCATGCAACAGATGCAAGTGCCAAGTGTCCCGTGCATCCAGCAAAGCCTGGATGGCTTCTGTATTTCCTGCCATGACTTAGGATCTAGGGTTTGCGATTTTAGGTTCTATGACTCGGGGTGTAGGGTTGAGCGATGCGAGCATACGGACAGGGTTTCCTGGTTCAAATAAAGGGGGTTTCTGCATGTGTCCTTTGGGGCCAAGAAGTTTGTGGGTGCTTGGACCCTTGGTTTTCTTGCAAAATGTTAAAGGGTTGAAGTCTAGTGTTGTGGCTTAGTCCTCACTGTCGATGCTAGCCCAAAGCCCTAAACGTAGAATCCACAGTCTTCTCCACCTCCGACATGGAACATCATCCCTAATATGCGGCTGAAGGTAGCAAAGCTGCGGAGCTCACTCAGCTCGAAAGCGGACACTTTCAACCTTGAAACCCATGCGATTCCCAATCCGAAAAGCATCCTTGTGAGCGGGACCCCACACAAAAAACGGAAGAACTGCCGCTAACAACTACGGAAGCACTATTCAGCCCGCTCATGCTTGTGAATCTCATGGCAAGTCAAAATGGGAAATTCTCGAAGGATAACATACTTCGCCTACGTTCGCCGCGGTATGGAGAGGAGTCCACTTCGCTGGGCATCTCATCTCCTGGAGTGCATCTACATGGGAAATTGGGGTCGGGCATCCTGATGATGAAGTTCATATTTTGGGGCAAGGAGCCCTAGGACCGCTTAATTCGAAAATGCCCATAGAATCGCCTTATAATTGCGAGATGTCAGAGACCCCATATAATTTGGCAGGTGGGGAGCGAGAATAACTCATGGTGAGGCCAGGGTCGTTATATCATCCTGCCTAGTCATCCCGTTTTTGCTGGTTTGTTGTAATAATCTACAAGACCTGTATTCAGAATGCTACGCAGGCTTGGCTCGGGATGTCGAGCCTTGGCAGTCCGGAGTTGTTTGACTAGTTTTTCGTGATGCTTGAGGGTCTCATGGTACATCGGAGGAACTTGTACTCAAGTCGCACTCAATGTTGGAATTCCTTCTGAACGAGCGGCACTCTCTGGTTGCGCCTTGTTAGACCGATCTCTAAACACAAAGCACAACATGTAATCACAACTCTTGCATGCCTGTAACAAGCTCCTTATCTTTGCACACCTAAACCTGACTTGAAGGGTTGCAGGGGCTCGTAAGCCGACCTCCCCCCCTGGAATTTTGAGCAAGTCGTCCTCAGAAGAACGCCTTCTATCTTGCTGTCTTGAGCAGCTGCCACACCTTGTGCACATCCTATACATATACTCCTAAGCTTTAAGTCCTAGATCTCATTCCAAATCCTGAGCCCTCAACTTAAGACCCTTGTAGGTAGTCCGGATCAGCACGCGAGGCCAAGAGGATGTTCAAGGCCTGGTGCTTTCATGTGGGAATCCCCAATTTGGGGGGAGGCCAAGGAGGATCCAGGTACTCCATTAACAGGAGATCAAGGGACCAAAGATCACATATGGATCATTCTGAGAGACACTTCCATGATGGTTGCTGTAGAATATAGGCTGTATCTTTAGTTTCGGACTTTGACTTTACGAGTTCCTTACTGTTGGTGGATTTGTGTGCTTATGTGAGAGTTTTGCTGGCACGTCACAAAGAAGTTTGAAGAAGTGTGTTGCGAGTTAAACGGCTTTTGCAAACTACGGCCCTGCTCTGGGAATCGCTGCGAGCATCCAAGTTGTGTCCAGCTGATGTACTGTAGTCCCTCAAGATAGGGGGGCCCAAGCTAGACCCCAATATTCTGAAACTAATTCTTGTTATGGGGATCCCTAAAAAGGTACCCCTTATTTGGGAAACCGCCATGTACTGTAGCTGTACGTAACTGTAGCGAGATTAGAAGGTTGATGGCTAACAAGCACCGTTGGGTAGTCTGCGTAGTCGCTCAGAAAAACACGAGGAGTCTCTTATGTTGAGACGAGCACATTGTTTTTAATACGGGGTTCCTTCTGGTGGGAAGAAAGAAGAATGGGTGCAAACAGAAAGTCATGCGTGAGCGCCTGAAACGGTAGCCGTTTTACTCAACTGTGCCTACATTAGCACCATACAATGGCCAAATTTTTGACAAGGGTGCACCCTAAACCCTGAACC